GAGACACTAGTTTTGCCTGACGGTGTGAGAAAGTCGGCAAGAGACCTTTTCAGTAAAGGAGGTGTTGAATTCAGCCACTCTATTTAACACTGCATTTGAATAATCCTCTGTTGCAAAAAGAGAAGAACAGATTTATGAACATAGTGTGAACTTCAACTATGACTCAATCAGACATTTTAAAACATGGAAATGATAATACATAAACATGTATACAAAGATAAACAATTATTTTACATGTCTTTGAATTAATCAAGACGGTTTTAAACACGTGGTTTTGCACCGGAAGAAGCTTATGACGTATGAAACAGTCGCCAAGTGCAACAGCCACCTCACGTTGTGTGGATAAATTAGGGGAGGACTATATCACTTATTTATAATACAATTTTGCAACTCAGCTATAAGTGTTACATTCTTATTACAGTGGTATTGTGCTTTAAATTGTGCACATTAAATAATTCGCGGCAAACAGAGCCTAATATATTTTCAGGCATATCTGAGATCGGCCAAATAATCTTTTGTCTGATAAAATGGAAACCATTAAAAGTGAGCGTTAGGGTTATCCTTAAAACTGCTGATCCAATTTGCACTTTTTTTGTTCCAAAAATATAGCCTATGTTGTCTAGCCTATATATAATATGCTGCTAACAAATGTCCTCTCAGCAACCTTGATCTTAAATCCGTTTAGGGTTCAAGATCAAATACAAATAATGCACATAAATGGCACTATTGAAATGCCCCATACTTATGTATGCAACATTATCTGTGCTTTTTACTAATTCTTAGAAGAATAAGTTGCCTACAACGCCAGGATCCGCGCAGTGAAGTGGGTCTGCAGGATTACAGAGTTGCAGCCCATCTCTTTCAAATTCATAAACCCGCATAGTTTTAAGATAATGACCCAAAGTCCTCATTATCAGTACAATTGGCGAGACATTACGCATTCAAGACCGTTACTACTCCAAGTTTAGGAGCGCCGCGTCGGCAGGGGCTGGGAAACGTCGCCTCTTTCTTTGGGGATGCAGATGAGTCTGGTGCACTTGACGTCTTTTCATGACCCCTGTCGCCCCCCATCCCCCCTCCCAGCCCCTCCAGGCTCTCACTGCGCTGTCTGTCACATTGGGCCTGGGCATGGCATTGCCACTTGCCCCACCGAGCGTGGGAATGGGATCGTCCAGTCGTTCACATCTCCTGCACTGCGGTTAACGGAATCAATTAAGCAGGCCCGACCCCCCCCCCCATATTTCCCCAATCCCCTCACTCACTCCCACCCTCCTCTCCTCTCCTCCCTCTTCTGCCACCTCCCTCCTTTTCCTACCCCAACTCCCCCACCTCTCTCTCTCCCTCTCTCTCAATTTGTGTCAGTTCTGTATACGTCCTAATTATTACTGTTTGGGATGCCAGCGCCGTTTCCTGGCCGGGCTCGATCATGCTGCATGGCAGGGAGTCGCACGTGGGTTTCCACAGAAGCCCTAAATGTCACTCTTTCATCCTCATGAAATATCTTAAGATTAACATGCGAATTTAATAACTTTTCAAATGTAAACTGTATTAACAGAAGTGTGTGTCTCTCTGTGTGTGTGTGTGTGTGTATGTGTGTGTGTGTATGTGTGTGTGTGTGTGTGTGTTTACGAAAATATTGTATAGCCTACATACCACCTGAAAGTTATTAATCAATAGGAACAAACAAACAAATAAGCAAAGTGGACAAACAAAAATGCCCCTTAATGGTGAACATTTATAAATGCACATGTACATGGGGGGGAAGAAGCAAAAATAAAACTAATATCAAAATAAAGTTATGAATAGCATCTACATCTCTTTTCCATTATATGTCATGAGTCCTCCACAAGTCCTCGATGAGTTTGGAAGTAGTTTTTACTTTCGGTTATCTAGCTTTATGACGAGCAGAACACTCATACAGCTAGATAACCAAAGATAACAACCTACTTCCCAATCTTCAGCAATAATCCACATGTAGGTTTCCTCTTCTGGTCCCCGTGTTTCCATCTCTCCGAGATCAAATATATTATGTAAAAGTCATCAGTGTTGCTTTTTCAAGTGACATTGTGCATTATATTCCTTATATTCCCTTTTTGCCATTGAAGACCATACTGCACAGCCCGAACTGTTATACACCCGGCGTAAAAGGGCAGCAATTCTTCGGAAAAAATGATATATAATCCCAATGTTAATGTCATATTCACTTGACATTACCACATATTACTGAGTTGAAGTAGGCCTTGGAAATCGCGGGTAAGGTGCAGTCATCCTTGCACAGGGGGCCCTAATTTGCAATGCAAATAGCTCCAATCCCACAAAAGGCTCTTTCGCCTCTATTAAGTCGTTGTGGCAGTAGCAATAGATATCCTGTGAGGCCGGCGGAGAAGAAACACGATAGTGAAGGGGGAAATCCGGTTTCCTGTGAAAAGTGCAATAACGGCACAAGGAATTACGACGCAAATGTTTCGGATTATGAAGACAGGAGCTTGTTTTTTGGCCAAAGAGTGTCATGTTGTCCGTTCACATCCAGCGTGTATTTAAGGAGAGATAAAGCCGATGATTGAGCCAAAGGGTCCGTTCTGCTGCACGGCCGGGCGGTGTGGAAAGAGTGGGGGAATAAGGGCCATCCCCACACGATAGGGGGCTGGGGGTGGCCAAAATATGGACCAACCCCGGTGAGGTCAAAGGCCTCGGACCACGACAATGTAACTGCGATGATGTCATGAAAAAAAAATCGCAAATGCACCCTCCTATCAATGCATGCACAATATCCATCCATAACACTGAGCGCGCTGGAATAAATCCGCCTTGCATCGAGCAGTCTGCACACCTTCTCTCACACAGGGATGAAAATGGATGGCAGGGCAACCGTATGTTTTTTTTACACAGAATGAGAGCGATTCAACTGCTTTAAAGGGAAGCTGCAATCAGATTTATATAAATAATACAAATGAAACAACTCTATGAAGACAGCATCCTGGAGCTGCATGGGCTTCTTCTTTCTATCCAATGCAGGCTGCATTTTCTCATCGCAATAACACGCTACTCGCTCGCTCATTGCGCTCCTTCTCATATAGTCTAACAGTCATCACTGTGGTTAAATGGCTCTCACGTTCTCGATTTCGCGTCGAATCCTTACAAACCCTGTGTTTTTTCATCGTCGCATCCGAACGGTAGACTACAATGCTGTTCAGGTAGGCTGGCGATGTCGCTTCACAGCTAAATGAAGCCCAAGAGCTTTACCGTGTACGCGTGTCAAGCCGCTCACTTTTCCACAGAAGTATAAGAAGTGAACAAATGCTTTGCACTAATTGATTAATATATAGGCTATTTGTAAGTGGGTCAACAATAACTAGCAGTGAAACATGCGATGCACCATGCGCAGGATTACATGAAACTGCAGGTCAGTTTAAGGTAGCCTACATTGTGCACAACTTTGATTATGGATGTCCATATATCAATTACTATTCAGCAAAAAGTTAGCCTCTGACAGTAATCAACTTAATGAATATGTGTGTGGGAGAGGTAGGTCTTGTGTGAGAGTGCATATGTGCGTGCGTGTGACAGGAGAAGTATCAGGTGGTGACAAATTAACACCGGTTTATTTGTCAATGGCATCATCCTCTTTGTTTGTGTCCCATTCACTTTTTAAATCTGGCTTTCAAGTTTACTCTCGATTCGTCGGTGGGAGGGGCAAGCGGAGGTGTTTTAATGAGCAAATATGAGTCACAGGGCCTGTGCATTTCAATAAGGAACTACTTACTATAAACAGCACTTAGTCTCTCAAATGTCCAGCCAAAGCTATTGTAATCCTATTTCTATGTTTCAGTCATTCCTTTCTAAATAAACTATCCACCTGCCACATATACAAGAATGTATCAACTGTAATTCATACTACCCCAAATCCTCGTATCATGCGTATTTCATCACTTCATTTCTTGTGTGCCAATTTTCACACGTTCACAATCATTTTGTGCTCCTGATCTAGATCTGATGAATATGAGACAAGGCCAACCTGATATCATTAAGATCAACATTATAAAGCTCACCTCATTAGGGTAAAGGAGGCTTCAGAATAGGCCTCCCACACAGAGGCCATGATTTAATCACATCACACCATTTTTTAAACGCACAACCTGCTGATCCACTTGAAGTTTTAATAAGCTGTATATCCGTGAGGGTTAATTAATTGCCGAGATGCCAACATAATACCATGTGCATTATTCTGTTCGCATTGTAACCTATATTATTCAAACAAACGAGCTATTAGTGCGCAATATCTCATGGATAAACAATAAAATACACACTTTGTTACATATCTTGTGTGGCAATTTTGCTGACCTTTTTTCATATAAGCCCAACCTATTGCTATTGCCTGTCAAATCTTTTGTTAAAATGTAAAAAATCTTGCTAAGCAATTTGTATGTGGTTTGGTGAAGTGTTTCTGCGCGTAAATGAGTCACACTTCGCTCCCGAAATCATATTACTAACACTTTATCAAGTCCCATAGCCACAGACAGTGTCTTGCTGTCATATATATCTAATAATAATTTCAGGCAATACCACTTTTAACAAGATGTTCCTTTTTAAAGTTAAAGGAACATACTGCACATTCTGGATACTGTCGAATAAAGTCTAAAGTGACTTTTATTTCAGAATGAACGAGAACTGTCCATAAAGTACACCATAAAGCCAACTATATTGATATACATTTATTTCACACACCTGAAGTTACCGGTCAGTTTACATTTGCTGCTAAAATGCGCAAAAAGTCTAATCAGTGTGTGCTGAGAAAACATTCCCAGTCACAAACTTCACAATTAATTCCAAACAAGTGCATTCTCCCTACGACTCAACAGTCCTGCTAAACTATTGATACAACAACTACACCTACTTTTTTTAATCGACAGCATTTATTTAACTTTTACGCACATTGGAAACCTTTGCGCACACAATTACCTCTACGCAGTCTATTAACACCGGCAGAAAGTTGCACTTACTTCCTAGGAGAGTCAGTTCACTGCAATCGTCCAGAAAGCGTCCCAAGCAGGAGAAGTACACCAGTGTTCAGTGGGGTCCGTGTGTACCGTGATGTGGTATATGGTCCCCTCAAGTATCCCAGCCGTATTATGTGGTTGGGAGGGGGGGCATCACTTTAAAATTGCCGCTAACACTCAGTAGCCTGCATTAGACGTGCTTCGGCTGCTCTGTGCAAAGCATGAGCATATCCCAAGCACATGATAGAAGAAGAGGAGGAGGAGGGAGGTATGGGGAGAGGGAGCGAGATGAGGGAGAGAGACAACTTTCCCATAACGTCTAAGCGCCAAATAGAAAAGTGCATGCACAGTTAAGCTCTCAGAGTGTGCAAGTTTCTCCCCCTGTTGGTGGTGGGGTGGGATGAGGAGGGAGGAGGGGATGAGGAGGAGGAGGAGGAGGAGGGGGGGGGGGTGTAAAGTCCATCCTTCTGTGTGAGGAGAGGACGTGCTCTGAAATTCAAACAAGTTCCCTCGGTTCTTTTGTTGCACGCACGAACTGAGGCAGCATTGTTCGCGGTTTGGCGTGGACCTCTCCGTCCCTTCCCCTGACCAGGTTACGGAGTGAGCCTCGCAGTTGGGTGGTAATGAATTTGCTGCAGGCACTTCGCTAACACGCTTTGACAAACGGAACGCATTTACCGGTTTTCAGACAGAGGAGAAATGATTTGCTACATGCAATTCCCAAACTATGTCTAGAATGAGGTCTATAATAAAAAGAAAAGGGAAAAAACACAAGGCTTTAAACTTCATTCAGAATGTTTTGATTGGATCTGTGTGTACAGGCCCTGGACTTGTGAATTGAACCTTGCTCCCATGAGCCTAATAAGAAGTAATCGTATAAGACTCCCACACAGGCGCGTGCCCCCTCCCAAAGTGGACACATACACATTGACACACACACAGCCCTTGAGAGAGAAGGGAAAATAAAGATAAGAAAGATCTTTCACATAGAAAAAGTTTGAATGAGGTGACCTACTTATCAGTAGCCTATCAGTGTCTTCAGCTAATTCTCTTGGTGATGACATGCTTTTTTCTGTTTTTGTGAATATTAGGTTACTAATGCTCGACTTTTCTGCAAAACGAGTTGGACCACTTTTGATATAACTTCCCTCTATCCTTGGTGAAAACGCAGCAGACTACACCTGCTCTGCTTTTTTCAGATATTAGAAACATCTTCTCTCTTTTTTTTTTTTTTTTTTCATTTTCTTTATGTGTCATTACAAAATAATTTCAAGAAATCATCATGTGACTTAAAATACAGAAACTGGGAACGTAAATATGTTATTACCCCCTCCCTCTTTTCCTAATTGCAGGCGTATCCATTAGATTCAACCGGATTCACGTTTTAGTTTAACAGCGAGGCACGTTCTATGACGTAGACAAGCATATCAGCTACGTGCAGCCATATTTAAATACATCAAGGCAATTAGCGCATCAAAATATGCAAATCCCGTTTACTATAGTCCGCCCGGCCGCAGTCGGAGTAATTCCCCCCCCCCAAGCCAGTTCTTGGGTGTTTGATTGCCGATTTGAAAGCCAACCTAGTCTTGTTTGTTTTTCCAAAAGGCTTCGATAACGTGAACGGGACAGAAGGCAGGCATGAAGAGGAGAACCGTGGCTCCTGCGTGGAAAACCGCCCATGCATAATGAGACGACTCGCTCCTCCATTCTCCTTCGTTGGCTCTGGTGTGCGTATTATTTTTTAATATTGATGCATATTCAGTGGGTATATTTGCATTTTATACTTGTCGCTCAGTGTTTATTTTACATGTTTGTGCTTTTGGATCGATGTAAATTCTGTTGTAGCGATGAAGTGTATTAGCCTACCTAAAATCTCAGATTTCACACTCTAATTGTCAGGTAATGTGATGTTGGTTGCAGTGACACGATACCGGCAGCGTTGAGGTCTTAATAGTTACAATTGTCTTTAATGTGAATGATGTGAATCGGCAAAAGCCTTTGAATACTCATTTACAGCATGCATGAACAAAGAGCTCTATGGTGGGCACACAATGGAGGAGATTCAGAGGCAATGCTGAAGAGGTGCTACTTTAATTCTCATAACATGAGAATGACACTGGCTGTGCAAAAACTTATAACCAAAAAGTCCCTTGCCCAGTTTGGAGCAAAATCCGTGACGCAGCGCTGACATTTAGGCTACAATTTATCAGGCTGTCTTCTCGGTCTCCGTGCACGCGCACAGTGGTACCAGGGACGAGCGTGCCCATGCAGGTGCAGATTGCGTTTAGAGAAACATATCTATTCCCACATTATATAAAATACAATACATATATTCAAGCACTTCTACTTGGATTATATTGTAGAATCACTTAAAATTCATCTTTGTGATGTCCATACAGAAAGCAAATCCTAAATAAAAACATTATAACTTACCTCAAATTATCAAAATCCAACGGTGCAGCTGCTGGAACTGAGTGCGATGTTTCTATCAAGTTGGTGGGACGTTTTCCAGAAGGGCAAACTTTCTGGTTTCAGCCAAAGCTCGTACAGTCCCTATAGGCTACTCCCCTCGTCATTGAACCTTGCTCTAAACTGCTCGTGGCTCAACACCAGTGGTCAGGCTGGCTCACGTAAAGATATTCAGAGCCACAGGAGTCCATCACCCCACCTATAGGTCCCTCACTCTGCAAACTCATATTTTCTTATTACTTGTTGTAAAATATTAGAATATTACGTTACTGGTATAAGCTTAAATAGTCCTCTCATCATCCTCTGTTGTATCACCCACATTTCATCCCCATCTAAAGGACCGTTTACTTGCACATATGGAAAAAAACGCTCATTAAGTGTTAAGAGTGTGTATTGTTTCATGATTTGGCTATTGATACAATCAAACTAGAATGCTTCTAATATAATATATTTTTTAATGACAGCTCGATGCGAGTACGGTTTTAGAAAAGATGGTGGTAGTAAATGATTTGACAAAACTAATGTAACCTCTTAGCCTACTATCGATTGATGGATGTTATGTTCTCACAAAAAAACGTTTGTTAACATCCCCTTTTTCTGCAAAAGGTGAACCTTCAACATTAGCAGGGTAAACGTTATTATTATTTTATTTGTCTAGCCTATATTTCTGTTGCCTGCAGGACCAACTTCTGTAATGGGAGTTAGCGAGGAAAGCAGCCCGCTGTGCTGCTCAGTGATCCTCATTTAAATCATGTAGGCCTATAGCAGACACACAATCTATGGAAACCGTGTATTCTCTATGTTCCTCATGATTAATCGACTTGGTTGCAATATTACGCCGTTTTGTGACAATACATCCACAAGGGCCGCGTGCTCGATTCAAAGAAATAAAACAGCCTTGCAGATTCCAAACAGGGACAAACAAAATAAGACCGATTTTTGTATTTCCATCCGGTATGGTAATGTAAGCAAATAATACGGCTCAACGTGTGATTTAAAATGAGGAAAACTCAATAAGCTTGTGGGGTAATATTCTCAGAAATGTCCAGTGAAGAAGCAAATCCCATATTAAAATACATATTTTTCCTCCAATTTGTGGCTAGACACCAGCTCACAATGCAGATGGGAACAGGAACAGGCGAGCCTTTTCTGGCAAACAGTACTTTGACATTGATGTAATGAAACCCTTACAAGTTAAAGAAGCAGCCAGAATACTTTTTCAATATCATACCTGTAGTTACCGACGCAACGTGTCTACTGCACCATAGACCATGCACCGATTCACTTTTTTTGTCTCCTTTTTTAAACGTTGCATCTCATTAATTGGGAACAAATAATGCACTATCGTTTTTATAGACCACTGCATTTCAATGTGAAAGTCTACTTTCCTTATTATTATTATTATTATTATTATTATTATTATTATTATTATTATTATTATTATTATTATTATTATTATTATCATTATTATTATTATGATGATGATTATTATCATTATTATTATTATTATTATTATTATTATTATTTATTATCACTACTCAGTATTTTCTTTCACAGTACCTTCTTATCAAAATCGAATGTTGAAAAAAATAATGTGTATATTTAAATATTCTGAGTGGAATATTTATATATGTCATGAAACAGTAGAGGAGAGTACAAAGGCTTATTTATGTATGGTGGATCTACATGAATAGATTTAGAGACTGAGGATGAGGAGGGAGGAGGTTCTGGAGGTTCGGTTAGACGACTAAATGGTGACATCTAGTGGTGGATGTAGGGAGTGTTAATGAGGAAAACGTGGACGGCCTGCACGGTCACTGAAATACCCAACATAGCCTACACCTGCTGACCACACCCAAATGAATGCGTGAAACTATCCATAATCATAGCATAAGAGCACCTTAAATAAAGTGCTGTTTTTGTGGAAATGTTAAATGGCTACAGCTCAGTCAAATGTGCTACACATTACAGTTCCTGCACGTGACTGGGACATAATTCCGTATGGTTCATGTAGTGTTTAAACATTATTAGGTGAATAGGGTGAATTAAATATGTTTTAATTATTTAGATTTAATATTTAATGTGCTCGTTATTTCATATTCTCTGAGCATCGCCTACTTTTCTCCGATGTTCTCCGCATCTGAGGTGTTTCGCCAGAGATTGGTCAGATGCTGTTTGCCGGTTAAAACGGGGACGTGTCTGAACTTTTTAGAAATTGTGTGAACTGCTGTCAGAATCGATTATTTCTGACAGATAATACATTATAATATGACTCCATTGGCTGTATCAGTCTTCTTCACCACAGGCTACTGAATTTAACCCTTCAAATAATTGAGAAGCTTAATAGATGAGGGACTTCATGCAGTGCGGCCTAATGAAAACCTGCAAACACGCAACACATTAACCTGGAAGACCCATAAAGGAATCATAATAGGCTACTGCAGGAATATTGACAAGATAAAAATACTATAGGCTACCATAAAATACCATACAACTCAATGTGTAATAGCATATACACGGATCCCTATCGGAATACTGCAGTGCATATTACAGCACATTAAATGTACCGTTACTGTAATGTCATCAACTATTGAGGAACGTAAATCATTGAGCGTTTATTAACATTATATTGTTTTGACTGCAGCCTGCTGTTGAATGTTAAAGGCTTTAATTAAAAATGATTGTTTCGTTATCTCTCGTTATTTCGTGCACAAGTGTAATGATAGAGACGCGTCTGTGTGTGTTTCGTTACAATAATTTCGAGGTAAGTAAATAGATTAAATTGGGTTGAATCCACTCCTTTGATGCAACGTTATCACTCCTATTTTTCTTCAATTTTCGCGTCTTTAAAAAAGAAGAATCGACGTCCAGAGGCTCTATCCGACTCTGATCATACCCTTTAGGGCCTTTAATACATTCGGTCTTTCTTTCAGAAAATGTAATTGCATTTAATTCAATTGTAAGATTCGCAAATAGACAAAAACAAATCGAGAGTTTATTTGGATGTTTTGAAAGATAACATGTCTTGACTGTGTTGCTATTAGTCTACAATAAACATTTGAAATGAATCATGATGATGAAACAAGGTTTGAATGTTTTATCATCCTACAGCTTTGGCTCCATTAACACACTTTTAGTTTAAAATGATTCAATATAATGAACCGGATTTATTCAGATAAACAAACCGGCCTGTAACGAACTCGACAATTATTTGAAAGACAAACTTATCCTCAAGCTTGGTTGGTCTTCGGAGGAGTCAGCATGCAGGATAATTATTTCAATTGGTTTTTAAAACATTTACTATCTAAGACTCAAACAAAAAAGCCCCTTACCATCATTAATAGTTACAATATAGAAGAGAAACTTCGTAAAACAAAAGAGTAAGAACAGCTCGCTATCGAATGTCTGTTTGTTTGCTTGTTTTTATCTTTATCCACTACTTGAATGAAAAAAAATTAAACATTTGATGATTGCCATTATTATTAATATGCAGTTCTTTACAGTTCCACTACAGTTTATTTGCATTAAAAAGTGCCACACTGTGAACATTATGTTTTTATTCGATATTTTCTATTTCTCGTCTTTTTTAATTCTGGAACTCAAGGTTGTCCTGTAGCAGGCCTTGACCATCTGAATATGTGTGTTCAGGGATTTCTTCTTCTTTTTTTACATCTCTTTAAAATGGTAAGAGCAGCACACTTTGTTTGCATTGTTTATGAACATGTTTTTCCCTGTGAATGTGTGTTGTCTGAGGAATAATGTAACACTGAGAAATATAATGCTACTGAATGTTAAGTGAGATAAACCTTGGCTTTAAATGTCAAATAAATGTCTTCAGTATGAATATGTCAAAATGTCATTACTTTTAAATGTAAATGGGAAGAAGCAAATGTTCAAAATATGCTGTTGTCATTATTTCAATATCATAAAATGTCTCCTATTGTAAGGCTGCCATGTGTCAACATGCAGACAGAACTTGTTTTATGTTTTTGGTTTATACAGTTGCCATTAGTTGGAGATGCATGCAGAAACAAGTCACACACAATGAATTCACACCAAGTCACATCAGGATAACTAAGAAAGCCAGTAACTTTACTGAAATCTCTGCAAAATACAAATAGCCTTTCCCTCCAGCAGAGCAGATTTTGTTTTTCATCCCCATAGGTTTTCACTACATACAGCTGAATCAAGTCCCTTGAGTTACAGAGATGTGGATTTAATTGAATACCATCTTAGTCTCAAGTGGCGACAAAGGCCAGCTTATGCCGCTAAAAGCCGCTCTTGCGTTCCAGAAAACCTTAGCTCCAACCTCCCCATTTTCAGGTTTATACAAGCTACATTTGATACTACAGGCTGACTTTTTAAGCATTTTAACATATTACCTTTTAAAGAAAAAAACTTTTTTTTGAGCTTTCGAATACAACTTAAATAAACCACAAACACAGTGGAGCAACAAAGAATCCCATGTGAATGTAGGGACCTCAAGCAATGTTATTACATGGTTATTACACATGGCTGTACAGGTCTCCCCCTTTAATCAAAACACCAGCTGAGGTACTGCTTGTGTCACTTCTGAGGTACCAACATTGCATCTATTATAAGAATGACAAAGAACCACTGATCAACAGGTGATGAAAAATAACGCCTTTAAATTTAACAAACACAAGAAGAAGAAAAAACAGAGATATAAAGACAAGTTTTCTCTGTGTCTTTGGTTAAACTTATTGTCAAAACGACAGTACTCTAATCAACCATCAGGACATGTTGGTATATTTTGAATCCATTATCAATAGCATGACAATTTGTGTAGTGTGTTTTGATCGAGTGGACAGCAAGCAAGCGATTCACATGATGAGACCTAAATGATTCAGTTGATTTTCAGTAAATTACAAATTGTAGAAACAAAATAGATTTTTTAATATAACCTTTTCATTGCACAGGGAGACAAATGAGCAACAAAACAGGTACATTACTGTGGTTGGTATAAGATCTAAAGCTACGTTTTTATGACTGAGATTGAACTGTGAAACCAATTGTACATTTGAGCAAATTCTTTTATTGTCTTGTTTCAATGCTTGCAAAAACCATAAATGAATGTGAAAATAAAAGTTGGGTTTACAACAAAGAAATGCCACTGGCTTTGGTTTCTCCACACTTATGCTGCCTGAAACATCATGTTTATTTTTTTCTCAACCTTTTTGTATTGAATAAAAAAAAAGAGAGAAGAACACCATAGAGGCTCTGCCCCTGTTTGACTACACAGACTGTATACAGTAACAACATAGTGAACCTGCATGAAATATGCACACAGAAAGATTATAACACTTAAGTGACAGCAGATACGGGAGTGGGAGGCAGAGAGATATGTGGATAGTTTCATTGTTTAAAAAAGAGAAATCAAACAGCTATTTATTTAAAATAAACAATTGTGCTTCTTTCATACCAGCATGATCAATCTGTCCTTGTGTATCTGACGCTGAGCTGTTATGTGACATTTGGTAAATGATGTGGAGCCCTGTTTTGAAGACTGGAACATGAGGAGTCACAGGACGACGTCAAATCAAATTAGGTTTGCAAATGATGGGGATAATTTATCACAATGCACTTTGCTAAATTATATTACATGATTCAAAATGAATGTTGTATACATTTGATCTTGGCTTGTGCAAAATCTCAAGTGGTAAAGATTTAAGATGGAACTGAACATCGCTAACGTCAAAATCATGTTTGATGAGATTAAATATATTAAATTATATCATTCAAGTTAAGAATGACATATCTGATGCATTCAAATGCATCTATACATGGACTGAGGGTGGGTCATATCTCCTCATCAGTGTGACAATCATGTACATCATGTGTCTACATTTATTTCTGTGTCGTCCCCAGTTCCAGTCTCGTGACATTTCCCACTAACAGGTTGTGTTTTAGCATTCAGGCCTGTCTTTCCTCCGTCACACAAACCCTGGCAATGCTTTCCAGCTGGTTTTTAAGGTTAGACTAAATACACGCCTGAACAGCACTGCTCAGGGCTCAAATTAAACAAACCAGACAACATGTGCAACTGCACATAGAAACTCCACTAAGAAACCAACCAAAATCATTAGTATATATATTTATATATTAGAAAGCTATACACAAGCATGTTAATTTCACAGATTTTTTTTTAAAAGAATCTTAATATTACCATTATTATATATAATTAGAAATACACGTTTAAAAACAAACCTCTACAAAGATAAAACAGTTCAGCAAAGCATTGGATCTCAGTCTGTTTTTCATGGCTTAGGACTGCGGAGCCCTGTCATTTCCCCTCTGGGCGAACTATCCATCTCTTATTAGCAAAGCTATCAAAAACACATTCTGGCTTATAGAAACTACAAAAAGCCACAAAAATGCTTTGCATTGTATTCCTTTCATATGAAAATATAAGCAAGTGTATCGTACAATTGTTTTTTATTTTGTTTTACTTTTTTTGTTTATTAATACTGAATATTAATACTAGATCCAGAGTTTTCTTGATTACACTAACGAGGCTCTTAGATCAAAGGGTGGTCCTCACTCAGCTCCGTTCTTTAATGGGAGCGCTAAAATGATCAAAGGTTCCACACGTCTAGCATTGGGTCTACCTGTACAATCCTTCAAATGTTGCATAATAGCTTTTCATTTAGTGAGTAAATAAATCTTGTAATGTCTGGCAACTTTTGACCCCTGCCCTTCCCCCCTTGACCCTCTATTTACATAAATACGTTGAACCTGCAACATGACATCATCTAATGTTAACACACATTTTTGCAAGGGAGAACTGCAGAGAAGGTATATAGCAATGCAACCAACACTGTACACATGTACTGTTTGTCCAAATCAAGTGCTAAGGTGTTTTCCATTGGACACACTCACTCTCAAGGTAATTTGTTTTTTTTTGTTTTTTTTTCTCTAGTCACTGATATATCGCTGAGGCAAAGTGTAAGTACGTTTTATGAAACAGAGTACCTGACTATTTTTTTGTTTATTTGTTGATATGCATATATATATACACACACGTGTAAAGATATATGCATACGTGATTCTTTTTAGCCACACACAATACAATTTATGCATAGTTCCCCAACAAAAACACCCCAAGATCCCATCCCAACCAACACCGACCCTCCCCTAAAACCCCCATTACAACACCCCACTGGTTTATATAATGTCAATATGTATAGCACACACACTCAGCAAAAAGAAAAGAAAAAAGGAAAAGAAATTACAAACATATTTTAGAAAAGGGCTGTCCCTTTTCTTTCCTTCAGCGTTAAATAGATAAAAGGAGGGAGGCCATGGGGTCGGGTGGTGGGTGGCTTGTGATATCGAGGAAGAGGAGGGAGCTGACGTGGGGGCATCGTAGCGCTGCGTTGTCGGGGGGCTCAGGGCAACTCGGGGCATTGCCGGGGAGAGGACAGGGCTATCATGTGGCCCATCCTTCTGACATGCGCACCCGTTTGATGGAGGGGCTCTCGCGCTCGTCCAGGGAGGGCCGGGCCAGTCCCAGAGGGGAGTGGAACTCATTCCTGTGCTCATCACGGTCGCTGCCCTCATGGGAGCTGCTACAACTGCTCAGGCTATCAACAGGGGAGCGTCCCGAGTCCAGGCGGGAAGAGGGGTTCTGGGGTTGTGGCATCCCACCGTAGCACCCCGTGCTGCTGGTGCGATCTCTAGGAGGAGAAACAGGTTCGGACTTGATGTGCAGGCTTTGAGCAGAGGGCAGGGAGAGATTTGAACCCTGACATAAGTGAGAGTTAGAGCAATTTCTGTAGGAAGGAAAGGAAAAGGGGTTACAGAGTTATAGAGCAAGAAACAGAGTGATTTCAAAGTCAATCTGTCGCACGCAAATATGCATGCAGGCGCAAACACACACACAGACACACACAGACACACAAACACTCGTATTCGTGAAAACAAGGAGGTGTCATATTTGTGTTGGACCTCGCAAGTGAAAGTTGAAACAGTGAAGGACTCTTGATGTGTCAATCATGCATTTCACAACAACACAACACCTCAAATTAAGTTCAATGCACTCACCCTAGCTGGCCGAGGGCTGAATGCTGCATGTTCTGAAGGTGTTGCTGTTGCCACCCGCTCATTGAGCCGAGGTGAAGGGAGCTGCCGCTGTTGAAGCCAGACAGGGAGGACAAGTCTGCGCTATTCAGGGAATACTCTGTGTACAAACAACGAGGAGAAAGGAAGAGGACGATGACAATTAGAGGTTGTTCAAAGAAGTTCAAGTAAGGTAGCAAAGAGAATGCAGCTCTGATAAATGCTGCTGTGATTGGTGTGACAATAACACCCTCTGCTGTCAGAGCGCTGTATAACACTTTTGAGAAGTAGGTTTCAAAAGCAGCACATATACTGTATAATGAAATGAAATCACACATTTTACACATCTCAAAATAAAGTAAATGTTTTGTGCTTAACGGTATACAACAGGCTTACTTTAACTTATTTTAATTATCTAAAAATAAATAAAAGCTTATTACAGTGAATGGGTTTAATGGACACATTTGAAATTAGTGTATAAAGATGTACAAACAGTACATACCGGTACCATAAGAAGTAGAGATGGCAGATGGGTAACCACCCATGCCTTGTCCTGGTAGAGTTGGAGTTGCTACTGATACCACTGGGGTGGCCAATGACTGAGCAGACTGGGAGTTGTTTATTCTCTGGTTCTGTGAACAAGAGAGACGGGAGAAGCTTTAAAACACAAAGTCAACTCCCAGACAAAACAAACAGAAAACTATATAAACCAAGAAAGTTCTTTTCCCTTTCATTTCTTTCTTTTACTCAACAGATGCTGAGAGAATGAATGTGATGCCAACTTCAGGGGAAATTAATCACTTGACATGCGGCACGGCTGAACCCTGCCAACCCTATCATTTACCACCCTTTCCGAGGGCCCACTGTCGCTATAGTAACACCATTGGTCTCCAAGGCAACGCAGGGTAGCGACAGTAAGGGAGAGGCAATTTACTTTAGCAGAGGGGAGGGTTTGGCAGAAAATAATGGAGGTTTGATGCAAAATGACTCTTTTGTCGTCCTTCATTTGTACATTCTGAGTAATAAAAACTGTGAGCTGTACGTGTGCGGCGCAAGACTCAGTCGGAAAGATACAATTAAGGAAGGGAGGAGTAGATACACAAGGGCTGAGGCAGAAAAGAGGCCAGGCTGCTTTTACTCTGACTCTCCACTGGATGGCACTGTGCCCTCACAAAATGTAGTGAGAGATGACATTGGAGCCTTCAGCAGAGTCAGCAAGAATAAAGGTGAAAGTAAAAAAAAAATGTATCGAGCTCTAATAATCTCAGAAGTGATGGAAAAAATCTAGTGTGAATCAAGACGTCAGACTTAGATGACAGCAATACTCTCAGTTCTATGAGGCATACTCTCGATAACCAGTGTCTCCTTTCCAATTTGTAATTTGTTTTAAACTCTAAATCTGAGTGGCAGTCTGACTTACCAATAGCAGGTCCAAATCCTCAGACTGACGGCATTAAAAGGGGAGGGCAATACATTCAAATTAGTGAGTGAGAAAATAGAAGTGTTGGACCTAGGGAGCTGCTATAGGTTTTAGTCAAACGGAAATACAAATACCGCAGCGAGGATGCTAGAAACAATTGTAACTATACTAACTTAATAAGTGGAAAGAGATGAAGGAAAAATATCAGGGTCTAATATATAAGAAATCACAGACACACACAGACACAGCGGAGGACAAATATCTGACAGTATATCAGACATGGGCCAAATGTATTTTTTTTTCTAAAAGGATGTTAGTTTAAGAAGCAGCCCAGGCACATGATACAAACAAAATGTGCCAAAAGTCCAGCTTATCACAAACATAACCTCATCAACCCAAGTCTGATATGAGGAGATGAAAGCAGCGGAGGCGACATGAAAGGAAATCAACAATAGCACACACAAATAAAGACCCCCCATAGATAGGGAAGATATACAGTAGGGAAATGAAAAGAGGGAGAGATTACTCACGATGGAGGGCATGTTGTTCTTGACGCCAGGGGGGATGAGCACACGTAGGTCAGGTTTGCGGTTGTTCATGCCTAAGTTCATGGGCGGGGGAGACTTAGCCTGCATGTTCTTGTTCATGCCACCAGGAGAGACCAGCAGACCGGGCGAGTTGCGGTGATTCCCATATCCATTTCCTAAAAAAGTAAATAAAGGTTGGGGAGAAAGAGACAAAGAATCATTAAATACTTTAACGATCAATTAACCAAAGACCCATCTATATGTTATACACTTGTTACAAAAGTTTAATGTTGGAAACTCTAATGAAGAACCACAGTAATCAAGTTACACCTCGTGCCCCGTTTCAGTGTTTCTGTCTCATCTCCACTTCCTGTGGTAGACATTTTATAATCTCAGGCTAAAGAGACCAGGAGTTGTAAATGGTGTGTCATGAAAGTGGAGCTGGTTGGCGGGGCATATAGTCAAACAAGCATATTGTATTTGCCTTGATGATCACCGCTGTTTGCTAGGCAGACATACAATGAAGGCACCCGCTTAAGGGGACCTCACCCTCCACCTCTGTCACTGTCAGTTAAGGCTACATGTGCCCTGCAACAGCCAGCAAATTGTGTAAAAACATCTAATTATGGCTAGCAAGACCACAGAGGGATGGGACCCATCATTTAGCCATCAGAGTTAAAGACACGTGTGGTTCTCTGAGACAAAGACCCTGCCTTGGGGTTGCCACCAGAACTGCATTCCCCTAAATATGGAGGGCCCAGTGCAGCACCCATTTCCTCCTAACAACCGGTGGGGCGTAATCCCAGCAACATCATTAAAATAACTAAGAGTAGAGCATTCTTGCAAGCAACATAGTCTTTGTTTCTAACCCAATCCCACAGGCTGTTTTTTCCCTTACTTCTGCTTCCTTCTTCCAAGGGGTAGAACACAGGGCACTGTGTGGACGTTCCCACTTGAAAGACGGGCAGGAATTATACGTTAGACATAAATGAATTTCCTAATCATATACTCCAAGGGAAAATGAGTCGCAGATGTCTTCCTGGGCAATTTCCCTCGCTGATCTTTGTTTAATTTGAGAGCGAGGTTTTTGTTGTTTGGAAATGAAAAGTCTCAAAAGCTCAATTTGAACAATCTGAAGAGTAACGACCGCTAGCGGTGAGAGAAAATGAGGCCGTCTGACAGAAAACGAGAAAAACAGTGTGTGACTGCTGGAGTGTGTACATACACACACTAGCAGTCACTCCAGCAGTTCCTCTGCTGGCATGTGTGATGTGTGAGACATAGAAGTTGGTGTTAACAACACAGACGTTGTCCTTATTGTATGTTAGACTTTATAAAATGTTGCATGTGCATGATTCTACATAAGCATTTTTTTTTCACACTGAGTGCACATAAGCACAGTGCGACTTGAGACTCTATGAGACATTCTGTATGACTGCTTATACGCAAGCCATGCATTTGGATGCACATGTGTGTTTTGTATTGGACCCTCTTAGTTCCAGTGTCAATCTCACATTAGCTAAGAGGCAGCTGCCGCTTCAGTTTTCCCGCTCTCTCATTCTCATGGCTGGCCCTTTGTGGGATCGAGTGGGTGCATGTGGAGATAGATGAATAAGACCTCACACACACGTAAAACACACACACACAGCACACATACACACACTTTAGTAAATAACCCAGCAGGAAGTACATCAGTGTTTCTGTACAAATGAATACAGATGACTGAGCTATAGAGAGACATTTATACACACTTTGGTCGAGATGACACAGACTTCATCTCAGTGACAGTTAATCAGACATCTGTGTATTGCCACCCTGTGAAGAGGGCTGCAGTCCAGTCAATTATCTGCTAGATGATATGATCATGAGTGGCATAGGCCAGTCCCTAAGCACTTCAAAAGTAAAATCATTGGCTAATTAAGGAAATGCAGACTGAAATATTTTTGTACTGTAGCTTGATCACTCTGATTTTGAAGACAGTTGCATTCAATTCGATTCATTTGCTCGAGTATCACACCAGCGGAGGACATGATATCCAGAGTTAATTTACACTCTGCTTCTCTAATGCGACTTTGCACGGTCGAGCTGTGGCACAGGCTGGCGTCAACCGTTTACAGGAAGTACCAAAATTAAACACAGCACAGCCTTTAGTCTGTTTTGCTGCTGCATAAAGATCACACATAGAGATCGACATCAGATCTGTGATTCAGATACACAGCATTTAGCTAATTCTGATGTGTGGAGGGGACATCTGAGGGGAAGATGTCACTATAGGTGCCATGGTTACAACCATCGCACTTCGAAAGCCATGTGTTTGACAAGCCACCCCTAGTCTTCATCCTCCCACTGTCTCACACACACACACACACACACACACACACACACACACACACACCACACACACACACACACACACACACACACACACACACACACACACACACACACACACACACACACACACACACACACACACACACACACACACACACACACACACACACACACACACATTTTACTGTTACTGAACAAATTACTGATGTCCTGTTGTGGTCTAACAGGCGTGCTCCATTCTATTCCCCATACACACACACTCTTCCGTTGCGGTTTGGCCAAACGTGCATTCAACCCCTGAATTCTCCAACTGAACTAAGGTGTCACGCTTACAACTTGTACAGTTGGTGTGAGGTGCTGCCAAGATTGAGACACACATTGTTTGATCTACTGAGCCTGACTTGTTGTCAGTTCTTCTATGTATGCTTTTTAGCTTGTGTTTCTGAGTTATTTTGACCAGAGATGTCTTAAAGATGTAGCTTGAATGGAACTCATTTGAGGGAGTAATTGGTGTGTGAACAAGGTGAGAGGTGACAAGAGGTTCTTGTTAATTTCTCGCAGTGCTTTGGTGAGCAGAGTGCTGATCGGAGCATAGATGACAGCTGCATAATTGCACAAATGAAGGTGGGAGGTTTCTACAAGCTAGGGCCTTGGTCCAGACTAAGCTCCCTTCATCAGCTCTCTTCTTCTCCTTCACTCACTTTCTGTCTCTTCCCTCACTTCACACTCTCTTCGAGCCAGTAAAGGAGATGACAGATTGAACACATACAGTATATAAATGAGCGAACTTGCGCTTGCACGTATACACTTCTCATAATATTTCCATAGAAGAGACATGATGACTCAGCCTTTCAGTAACATGCCCCATTTCCAATGGACTGGAATTACCTAGGGACCTTGTGTGATTTAGACTTTACCAGTATGTTGGGATTTTGCACAGGATAAACAAAAAGCCTGTGTCTTAATTAATTTGACTTGCCACATCGGAGGATTATCAACAGATAGGATTGAAACACAGTCATATTCACGCTCATACTGCAATGAAAATGAACATGGGAAGTTGAGTACAGGACATTCAAGTACTGGTCTGGGACATTTAAAAACAAATTCAGTTTGTGTCACAACTTGTGAAACAGCCTGAAGCCATTTGCACTGTTCTTACGAATGTGGAAAATATGACTCCATGTCGCCATACATTATAGTTACATGAGCCTGTAGAATTGTCCCTTTAAAAAGCCATCAAATCTCATAATCCTACTTCATCAATGTTATCCCAGCAAAAGGAAACAAATAGGGGAATATTTTATGGACACTGATAACATATAAAACTGTTGTTTACTCAGTTGACCTGTGTTTGGTTTAATGTGGTAGCTGTGGAATTATAACTTTACAAATTGAAGACATTGCAGATTCTTACTGGACTAAGGCATACATTAATTCTAAAATCCTTACAGACTACATAAGGACCCCATGTAATGCTAAATACATGTGTGTTGTAATCTTTGCTCTTCACTCTGTCTTTATAGACAGTGGAACCATGACTAAGGCACAAAGGAGGTGTTGTGTTTATATGCATGTCTGAACCACACACTCATACACACTTCTACAGAAAACACACACAAAAGGCATCATCTTCCTATGCCACTTGGGCCACGACACTTAAGACACTCAAACACGAGCCAGAATTCTCGTGACAAACTAGTTATACAATCATTTTATCAAAACTTACAGTGGAGAGAAGAGGAACATTAAAACAGCCTTTGTGGTGCCACAGTGGCTGGGCCACCTCACACTGAGTCACTTAGAGGAACATCATTAAAATGGCTGACCAAGTTCACAGAACACTTCCATCTGTGTTTCCCCAGTGTTTCTTCTTTGCACACATGCCTCCACCATCAGTGGATATTCATCACTGGGGTTCCCCCCTCCCCACACTCTCTTTCTCTCCCCCCTAGATGAGATTTAAGAGAGCTTTGAATGGAATCTTTTAGCTCCCACATGACTCTCTCTCCACGCCGTGTTTTTCGCTGCTGCTGAGCGACGCGCCGCTCACACAGAGCGCCTCTGTTCCTTCAACACGGTGACACAAAGGGTACATTTGAAGCATGCTCTGCAGCACGCCGTCGAAGGAACACACGCCATAACAAATGGTCCTGTTGTGTGTGTGTGATGAGCGACCAGACAGAGAAACCAGGCATTGACCCCTTGTGATGGAGCCCTAGGGGCCAGACAAGGCTACCCAGCTGTACCCCTCTGACCCCAACGCTCTCCATTTTTACACTCGGCACTGTACGTAGGCTGTAAAATGTAACCCTTTAATAGGGAGTCTCTTTCCATAAACTTGCGCCTGACATGTCCTTAGGGATGAAAATCCATTGACACACAGAAGCTAACACATACGATTTCTTACACATGTTCCTTAAACATTGGTTGCTCCACTCTCCAAGGGATCATTATGGCGTGGTGAGCCACTCAAAACATATGCTAGCAGTTACTGAGCAACACGTTTGTGTGTGCTCCAAATGGGAGCTATGGGTGTTGTCATTTTGAATTTACATCTAAATCCAAGATGTGGTAAATATAAAAAGGACGGCTCATCATATAGAGAAACAGAGAATTCAGCTCTACATTCAAAAGTCCATATTTTCTGACTGCACGTCAGTCAATTTGCTGCTTCAGTATTTAGTGTGATTTTATTTCTGTTTCCACACACTTGTTCTACCATTTTATAGCTGAACCCAGGCAGGATGTGTCACAGCCCCAGCACTAGGCAAACATTCCCAGATGAACTCCACGACCACTAACATCAACACATCATGGACAAAATCTCCACTTGGGTTTGGGTTACTATTACTCATGCATTTTATGGCCCAGAGTGGGTGAGTGGGTGCCATGTGTGTGTGTGTGTGTGTGGGTGAGTGTAAGTGTGTGTGCATATTAGCAGACAACTGTGAGCGAGAAGAGGCCATTCTTACCAGCACTGGTGCCTGCGCCAGTGGTGAGGTCAGCACCCATGAGGCCACCTGAAAGATGAAAGAGATAGGAGAGCAAAAGAGAGAAAACCATTAGAGGATAGACACCCACATAACATCCACTAAGCCTCCTGTCTGTTACCTTGCTGGCCTTTCAGAAGCTAACTCAATTTAATCACAATCCACAGTGTGTGCATGTGCTCGTGTTTGTGTGTCACTTTTATATGTGTATGGATACCAGAGGTTATACTCCTTTCCACTCAAACAGTAACACTCTAAGCAACTGGACACTGTGAGTGGATACATTAAGCTACCGTCCAAGAAAAATGATACATTATTATTCTTAAGCCATGTGAGGTGGAAGAGTGGGAGGGTCGAGAACGTGTGCGGTTTGGTGTGGATGCTATGAGCGCCAAAACTCATATTGAGTTTGTGCTACCGCCTCTAACATCCAGTTGTAATGACAGGGTGAGGGTGTGGGCAGCAGCCTTCAGACCAGAGGGAAAGAAAAAGGACTTTGGACAACAATAACAAACCAACAGACCTGATTTGCTTATGTCACCGGCAACTTAAATCCTATACATAGTGCAAAACATCCCATATTTAGAACACTAAATCAACAAGATTCAGGGCAGGGATTTATTATGATATTAAATGTTTACCTTAGTTTGAACAAAATACTGAGCAGGCAATATGTGACTATATATAGGAGGGACTTTGGATTCATTTGCTGCCTTAAGGGGACATATTGTGGGTAGACGTGTGAGTCCATTAGCTAGACAGACAAGGGCACAGATAGACAGATGGGATAACAGCATGTACATGGGTGCATGAGTGCGGGTGATGCCCTTCTGGGTTACCTGCACTGGGGGGTCTGTGTGTAACTCCGGGGGACATGCTGTTTCTCTGTAGGCCATGGTGCGCAAGTGGCAACAGGTTGTGGTTGCCAAGGGAACCACCAGGATGGCTGTAAATGAGATTGTTCTGGTTGCTAATGGGAATGGACACAGACATGTCATAGTTTGATTGGGGCACGGCCTGCTGAGAGAGAGAGAGAGAGAGAGGGAAAAAAAGAAACAGAGAGAAGTTGGATTAGACTAAGGACACTAATGATTGCAGTGAGTGAAAAAGTACAACAAGGCTTTCAAGAAAAGAAATGGACACAGAAAGAGAGAAAGAGACATGACAACTCAGAAACACTCCAGGAACACAAAGGAATTTTAAATTGTTTGACTTTCTACAGTCAAAGCAGTCAAACACAAAAGAAAAAAAGACAGACAGCCAAGTTCAAAAGGACAAATGGACAACTAACAATAGACATGCATAGATGAATTGTACAGAGAACAACTAAAACAAGAACTAAAAATATGATTGAGCATGGAATTAGGAGGGGAGCACTGAAATTAAAAGGGTAGGCGCCTAGAAGACTCCTCTCAGAGGTACTCATTTGCCCAGGAGATGATGTATGGGTTGGCAATTGTTTGTCACTCAAACTTGATCTTGATTTGGTAGGCTTCTTTGGATGTTAGATAATATAAATGTATTTATATATGTTTTTGTTTACTCCTTTTTGAGCCAGTGGAGTCTTTGGGAGATAAATTATCACTTGTAATTCCTGGACAAACAGTGACATACACAGTTTCACATTTATATTCCCCCGAAAACTTTCCTGGTTTGTTCGATTAAATCAGAAGGCTATGGTTTACTCAGAGGAAAAGTCAATGGCACCTGTCTGTCTTCCCCTCAGTAAAAAAAGGCTACACTACTTTTGCTAAAGTAGCTTCAACACTGGATAACTGCATGTAATTAGGAATCATTTGTTTTACTGTCACATGGAGCTAATGCAAAGTATTAAAGGGTAGACTCAGATCCGTCAGCAGTCTCATCAGCAACATGAGCAGAGGTAGCCTGTCGGCCCCAGGCGTCTAGTTTGTCATGTTTATTGTGTCACTTGGTAGAAGGGCTTAACCTTGGGAGTGCCCTGGAAGTGGTTGATCCTGCATGTTAGCTTTAGGAAGTAGAAAATAGGGCCCTAAATTATTGCCATGTGTCTCAGAGCCATGGAGGGAGCGCATCAGGGGATCATCAGCCCGGCTTATGTGGAAGTGGGATATGTGCCTTATAGCGCTGCTTCGTCGTCTTCAATTTTCTCCCTTTTGCTAATGTTCTTTCTGCAGGCCAAATATTATTTTATTGCGGCGCTGTGAACGTTTCGCTTTTACTGCAACTTTATGAAGCAGTGGGCTAGCCAAACGCTATGGAAGCTTTCTTTTATAACCATTCAAGAGCTGTCTCTGGTTCTGTTTTATTTTCTGAAGACTCTCAGTCATTTCTTCCATCTCGGATTCCTTGTTGGAGATATTATACCTCATGAATTCCCTATGCAGTGTTTTCTAAGAGTGGGCGAGCTGTCTCTGTGCACACATTTGCGTGCACACACATCCCTTTTGCTGGTTGTAAGGCCCCCATCTGTAAGCTGTCCTTTAACTGGTGCCATCCTTCCTGTTTTCACTCATCTTCCTCCTCCGCCTCTCCCCACAGTCCCCTCAACAGTCCCCTGCAATCCAGAGGCCCAGTGCTTGGCAGCCACCCTGACCACACACTGAACTGCCACTTGTTGTGTGTAGAGTCAACCCCCCCACCCCCCAAAACACCACCACCCCTTCTGTTCCAACCCCCATCCCCACCCAGCTCCGATCCCAAGCCCACCCTACACCGCCACACCATCCCATCTCACTTACCCCTGCCTTGCTTCTAACCACATATCTCCCTTCTCCCGTTGCTTAGACACTACTGTTCATCTCTAAATGAGCTACCATGGAATTATCTCTTTCTCTGTAAGTCTAGAGCACTAACCATTCCAATATGGTGCTTTCTGAATGAAATGCAGGCTCAGTTTACATAGAAAGCAGCCTTTATTTTGAGGTCTCTGGCAGCTAGCTACAGATTTGGTTCTTTTGATAAATTAACACTATATATTTTAAATCCAGCGATTCACATGTCTTGACACTTCCGAGTCTATTAAAAAAGATGCGTTAAAGGCTATCAAAGACTTTGCCTTCAATTATTTCCGCAATGGGGAGAGATAATTGAGTTTTGTAAGGTAGGAGATGTGCTTAAGCGTTTTTAATGTCTGCTGCTGTTTCATTGCCACACTGCATGTCCTTGTTTTTTCGGTTGACTGAGCGCTGTGTTTTGGTGAAGGAAAGGAAAAGCGCATGCAGACCACACCTCCCCTGAGAGCCAGGCAAGGCATTATGGGTAACAGGTTCAAGGAGGGAACCCAGTAAGGTTAAAATTTGTCATGAGAGAGAGTCTGCAATTACTATAGCAAAATGCCTGCTAGTTACGGTTACAGTTAGGTTAAATTAGAGGACTGTTCCTCAACTGTAATCAAGCTAAATCAAAGGACTGTTATTTTTCAATGTAAGTATACAATATAATTTCATTCTAGTCTTACACTCACTCTCACTTTGTGTATTTAGTCTAGCGGCAAACATTTGTGGTTAGCTGGGTTAGCTCAACAGTTACTGGCCAGTCAGCATTTTGTTAGCCTGCTGAGGAAGCGGCTAGCGTCACCCAGTACTTACAGGTATCTTATGAGTTTGAATCATGTGATCAAACTCCTCATTAATCTGTTTGTATTTCTCCTCTGTGCGTGGGGTGAGGATGAGAGCAGACTCGAGCTCCGGGCTTTCGCAGCCTTTGTTCTCCTTCTTGCTTAATGCCTGCCAGGTCCCACAACCACAGAGACGGACGGAGGGAGACACAGGTGAAGGGACGGAGAGATGGGGTGGTAGATACAGATGACAAAAACGAGGAGACGAGGCCGTAGCGACAGAAAGCATAGGGGGGAAAAGGGAGACAGAGGAAAGAAAGGTGAGAGGGATTTAACAAGAGGTACTTACACAAAGTCTCTGTCTGCTGATCATCAGATCAATGTCCTCGTTTATTTTCCTGTACTTGTCCTCGGACTCGGGGCTGTGGCCGACTGAGTCGTCTGCGTCGGGGTCTGGGCTGTCACAGCCGTTTAGGCCCTTCTTTCTCAATGTCTGCAAACAGAGCATTTGCACAACATAGTTGAAGGGCTTTGGTAAGAAAAAGTGAAGTCAAACAGCTTGGGATGGACAAATGCAGATGAACTGTGAGGAGCTTCCATTTAGAATCAACCCTGACAAATACCAATTAGAAGAAGTTTTTTAAACCATTTAACAAAAGTGTATATTGATTTTTTTTAATTTAACACATTACAAAAGTACTTCTTCTCTATTAAAATTATGGTCTGTTCCTGAGACATTGTTCTACAAAGACATTCATCATTTTGGCATGGCAAGAGGATACATTGGCTGCATTGTCAACAAGAAAGCATGCAGCCAAACATTCAAGATGGCACAAATGATTGAGACATAAAAAGTGATCAAACTCTTGACCAAATGACAAATCACGGGCCCTTGAAACCTCATAATAACACAGGGAAAATGAATACAAATAAAAGATATTTTATTAACCATAATTATTGGTGTGTCATGAAACGGAAATAAAATACAGTTAATGTGGAGTTAATTTCTGTGGTATATGTGCTATTAAATGTGGCAGTTTCTGTTTTGGCCACCTGATGGCCACCTGCCACCATTACAGTGGCCAGAAAACAGCAGACCGGCAGAAAGCGCACTCTCCACTCACTGAGAGGAAGAGAGACACAGACAAAGTGAAGAAGAGGGAGAGAGAGAGCGGTGGAGCTGCCTCTGTCCTTTTTTAGATATTGTTGACAACCATAACAACAGGGATCAGTTTCAGAGCACATTACTGAGTGTGATAGCACAAGGGTATGTTTGCTTGAGCAAGTAGGCATGTACCGATAGGTGCTCCGTTCATTTGCCTCGTAAAGTGAGAGACAAAGACGAAGCGGAAAAGAAGAAAAGTACAGTAGCTGACAGTTAGAGCTCTCATCAAAGGCACCCCCCTCCCCTCCACTACACCCCACTTTCACTCTCCTCCTCCTCCTCCTCCTCCCCTCTCTCCTCCTGGCTTTAATAAAGGGATATTAGTCTACAGGAGGAATATCACGGGCCTGCTCCTGTCTGTGCAGTTGTCGCTTCACACTGTGCGCACTTTCATCTGAAGCTCCATATCAGACAGACGTAATTAAATTTACTTTAGCACACCCTGTATTTGATGCTGATCAAGTGTGTGTGTCTTTCTCTGTACATGTTGGAGTGTGTGTATGTGTCTACTGGTGTGAGTGTGTGTGTGGGAGGGGAAAGAGGGGAATGAGTCTGTGCATGTGTGGGTGTGTGAGAGTGGGTGTTAGCGTCAAGAAAAAAGAAAGAGAGACTGAGCAGGAGCAAGGAGGAAGATAGATGCTAAGATAAGTTAATCTCAGTGAACTTCTTCCTCTCATTTGTTTGTCTCCGTCAGTACTCACTCATGGAGGAGATACGAGTGCTAGCTCCTCCATCACAACCAGCGGCAGATGTGACAGGGAGCGATCTGCCTGCTTAGAAAACAAATAGCAATCCAGTCATCTCTCATGTCAGCACAACAAAGGCCTGTTTTGAGTGTGGTTTTAGTGAACTTAGAGGGCTTCTTTTGTGTGTGTGATAACTGTTTGATTCCTGAGGCGTCTCGTGGCGAGGCAGCTACTGTAAGCGTGTCAACATTTGCTGGCTCTCCTCTTCTCTCTCTGAATCCTCACTTGGCCCCCAGAGTGGAAATCTGGAATTCTGAATTTGAAAGTGTCTCTCACATCTTTGACAGTCTTCAGGAAATCACACCAAACAAATCAACCGAGGCGGTGCAGGAGATCTGACTTCTAACAGACCTTCAGTGAATCAGGCACTCTTGCTCTATCAGAGGTGGATGAGTCAAAAGAACAAAGGGGTTGCAGAGGTTTAGCACGCTGTCTTTTTTGGCAAAGGCGTGAGATGTAAAACTTTTGCTATTTCTTTTGTGTAGTTTCATTCTGACCCTGGCGATGCATCATATCGAACTGACAAGAGCTGAACCACTGGCCTTTTCTTTTCGCATGAGAATGCATGCAAGAAATAACTTTTCTTCCTACTTGCACAGCTTTCCTCCACCTACCCCCGCCAGCACAGAGTGCATGAGGGATTCACTTCCATTCTAGGAAGACTAGCAGTGGGGCATTGCTGGAAGAGGAGAACTAGGGCTTGGGTAACGGTGACACCCAAATGGGGGAAACTGAGCTGGTGGTCTCGCAGGGGGTTGGGCAGCGGTTGCGTTGGGTGTTGATTGGGTGCAGGGAGCTTGAGTGTTATATGACTTTGAAGCATGTGGCCCAGGGGCTCAGCACATTGAGGGTTGGGTACAAGGACGGTATGCTGCTCATCCCAGTTATGCCCACCTGTTTTAAGACATCACACCTGTTGCCAAAGACTGACACACAACCCAACAACCAATCAGATCTGTTGGAGTGCTCATATAGCCATAGAAGGGCCCTCTTGCGCTCTTCACCTCACCACCCTACCGCTCTACTCTCGTCATCCTATATGTTGTCCCCTTCTTTAATAGCCCATTGCTTAATCTGTGCCCTCAATGTGTTGTGTTTCATGGCTCTGCGCCACAAAGTCATCGAATGCTGCTCCAAAAATGGCTTCAGTGACATCATGACTATATGAAAGAACACATCACAAACATACATTTCAAAATGAAGTAGAGAATAATGATCATTGCAAAAGAAGCTGCTACCCTTACCCTGGGTATGAAGAGCTGGCATCAAAATAGAGTCTTTGGGGAATATGTTAATAGGATGAGGATTAAGCGAAAACACTTCGGTGCAGTTCACTTGTGCCAATAATTCTATGAACAAAATATTCCCACACATTTCGATTCTTTTTTAACTACATTTCACAAGTAACTGGGGTTTTTGATATCACATGGAAATGCTCATTATTTTTATTCTTACAAAATGACTGCTGTCATACAAGGAACACTTGTTTGTTGATCATTAACTAAGTTTGTAGCAATTGTATTGCCTCTGTTTACATACAAGTATTGTTTTTTACTCTTACCCAATCATCTTTTTGACATGTCAGCTTACCTAATTACCATTACTAAGAACCACATTAACATATCCTTTACCCTTGCTCCTGCTGTTTAAAATGTTATGTGACATGAAGTAAGCAAACTGTCCATAAGAGGGAAAGATTGATGGGGAAATAACAAGCTATAAACTACTACAATGCGAAGTCACCAGGCTTGGTACAGACATTGAATTTAGTAAAAGAAGAGCAAGGAGAAAAACGTATTACAGAGAGGAAAACTGCAAAGAAATCTGTGTATGCTTGCTCGTCTCAATGTCTTTCTCTGTGGCCCCTTTGGAGGCTTGCTCCTAATTAAACTCCTTCTTCATGATGCTCCCTCATGAGTTGACTTGTCACAGGGCCTGTGTGAAGCAGGCACAGCATAGACAGTGTCCTACATATTTAGACACCTGTCTCATTGGTACCCTTCAGCTTTGCACCCTCAGCTAGGCTGGCCTAAGATGGGCTATATTACTACATTTAGCAAGGCAACCTGGGCTGGATTAAGACGATAAAAGGCTAGTAGACGCAGGAATGAGCTACAGGGGAACTGATTTGTATTGAATATATTGCTTGGTGTTAGTACATCTGTCAAAGATTTGAGTTCTCTGATGTTTTAATTGCAGGAAAAGGTCCAGCCTTATACTAATTTCATAGTTTGGGGTGTGGGTAATAACTTCATGTCGCTCTTGAGAAAAACTGTGGAGGGTATTTGGGTGTGAATTCTGGGTGGCCCCAGGGGGTCTGCTAGGGACAGCTGACGCCTGCCCAGAGCCCCTGCCATACCAGGATCCGTCTGCTCGGCATTCTGCCACCCTGCTCACCCTCTATCCATCTTTCTGCCCCCTTCTTTCTGTCTCGTCCTGCTGCTCAGTCTGTCTCTGTCTCCCTACCACTGTCCTCTTCTCCTCATTTTCTGCAATAATACCACGGCTCAACAGAAGCTGAATCAAAACATTGTTGGCTTGATGGCTACATCTTTATTTCTGAAAGACTCGGGCTAGTGGATGGGTTGTGTTTGGAGAGAACTTTATTGCTGACCATTCCCATCTGCAGTTATTTTGGCAGTGGCTGAAGGGTACGACACATTCAATATTGTGTTTATGGCTATTGGCGACGGCCAGGCCAGTGAATGTTTCTCAATGTCTTCAACCCAATGGCTGACAGCATCAGTGAAAAAACCCTCAACAAAAACAGCCAGTTTATAATAGCCCTTTTATATATTTGCCAACATTGTATGGTCTTCAGAATACACATACCATTGTAAGCAAAACAAAGACTTATAAAAGAAGACACTATAGTACTAGAGCACAAAGATTTCCCCCAATAAATGGAGCATTTTATGGTTTTTCAGTATATTACAGCAGTCGATGGAAAACAAGTTGCAGACAAGCAGAATATAAAATCATTTATAACGGTGCCACTTATGGTTAATAATGTTGGCTGTGCTGTTAATGTATAATACAATTGTACTGGAATACACAGCTTTGCCTGGCAGGGTCTCAGCCTCTGTCACAATGTGAAAAAGTGTACAGAACAGATTAATTCACTCTGACTATCAGAATCACTCCTTGAAGAAACGACAGTATGCAAATTATACAGACCTGTGTTCATAATGTCTGAGAATGTGTGTAGGTTGAGTGTAACCAGGGAGTGCATCTACAGTGGGCACTACAGTCTTCTCAGTAGCTAGTTTAAGACCCAAGACTGAATCACAATGGAATTTAAAAGGCTCCCAAATAATCTTTAAGAAAATCTAAAGTTTAGGGCTACAATAATAATTCAGGCTTCTTTAAAATCAGACAACGTACGATAATCTGAATAATATATTATCAAATATACAGTACATCTTTTTGACTGGTCTTTACACTAAATTACAAACCCATCTAGAGCATGACTTTCAAAGTGGAAAAAGATGGGTAAAGAGAAGACGTTTGGAAAACCACTGGACATCAGGGAGCTCCCTTGCCTTAACCTATTGGCTAACTCAATTTTGTCAAGACAGATTGGTTGAGAGCAGTGTGGCTCAGTGTCAGTAGGACTGAGGCAGTGGGGAGAAACGTTGTCCCTTTTCATCACAAATAACAAGATGAAGGTGGCCATGAAGTAGACCTGCAGTGTATTAAGACCCCACAGAACCACTGAACAATACGCACACTCAGGGTGGGCTTGCTGGCAGAGATGGAGTAGTCGTATGTTTGATATGTGCTCTCATTCGCTTTAATTCTACTTTTATTTCTTTTTCTGTCTGTCTGGCTCAATCTTACTTGCTCTCGTTTTTTGTCTCTCCCCCTCACTCTCTCTGTCTCTCTCGCTCACTCTTTCTTTCTCTGTGCTTTTCAGCGTGGAGGGAACATCAGAGGGATCAGGCTGGCTTAGCTTATTGGAAGCAGATGGCAGACCAAAGGCAAGAAGGCCACAGTTTCATGAAGCGTGGTTTGAACATGCCAGGACCATGTCGAGGGGCATGCCCATGGATGATGGCTACATGGTGTGTATGAGTGTGTGCATGTGTGTGAGTGAGCATTTGGGAGGGAAATGGTTGATTTTGTAGGTTACCGATCTGAGCAATGGGACCCCCAAATCACAGCCTGTCCCTTTCTTTTTTTCAGTCATCATCTGTGCATCCCAATGCACTGGTTGAGGCGACGTTTGAAGAACTATGCATCAATGACTTTTCAGTGAATTGGTGGCTTTGAAGCCCCTTACTCCTGGTGCCCTGCTGCACTATAATCAGGAATCAAAGGCTGGCGCCTGGGATCCATCATCTCTGGCAAAGTGGTCGTGTGTTCAGTAACGCTGGCTAACTGAGTATGTAATTACTAGCTGTCTAGAGATTACTTGATTGACTAAACATTAAAAAGAGCGAGTAAGAAGTAGAGCAAACATTTGTGAAAATGATCAAGAGTATGTAAGAGAGACTGTGTGTGTTAATGTTCCTTCACATTTCTCCAAACTGTGACATTGTGATGGTGCATGTGCTGAATTCACCATTAAAAAGAGCCCAGTGTGGATGAGAGCCCACTAATGGACAGACAGTCTTAGCTAGCCAGTACACGGCACAATACCAGATGGTGCAGTGTTTCCCATATGGAATAGACAAACACTAAGCACATGTCAGAATCCAACACTGTTTGCTCCAGCAGCATCCTAGCCTTGGGAACAAAGTGGTCATTCACACTAGTCAGTGCACTGTATAATTACCCAGATAGACATTATGAGACACAATGCCAGCTCAGTAAAACTGGATAAAGAGGGCACTTATGTCTGTACCCTCAACCTACCCATCGTTCATCCTGTCTGTGCTCCAGTTGCATAATTTGTCTCTCTTCACATGAGATGAATGGGCATGAGTCTATATATTTCTGATTCAACATACAAATCAATTTGCCAAGGCTCAATTATGTGTGGAAAATACTCTCATACTTACTTTGCAACGCTTTATGAGCAGTTTGTTTCAGTTATTCACGCACCACTATTTTACTGCACTGTAATATTAACAATAAGGTCTTCAATTGCTTATATTAAGTCATTATCAAATAGAAACACTGTAACATCCTCAGAAAAATCACTTCAGTTGTATATGTGCAAAACTTCAAGTACCCCTCCAGCCACGCTCTATTCCTTCTTTGTCCCCCCACCAATCGTCACTTATCGTCTTTTGTCTCACTGTCTCTTATCGCGTGGTGCCACAGCAGGAAAAGGGAGCCTGAGGGAGGCCTTGAGTAACAATGTCCAGCCGGTTGACCTCTATAGTGTGACCTTGAGTTTCCACACCCTGTCCAAAGCAGCAATCATGGCATGGGAGGGGCTGAGGCCAGGGGGGAAGCTCCAGGCAGGGCAGGGAATGCCATCTATAAAAATAGCCTTCATTATTCTGAATTTTCCACAAATAGTTTCAAAGAACAAGGCATCATTTCATCTTAATGGCTGGCGTGAATTGTTTTGGGCTGTGTAATGGAAAAGCCTTGCATTTGGCAGCGTGGCCTCAGAAGTGGCCTGCCTTTTTCACCGCTCCACACCACAGGGACCACATATTGGCACATTTCAAACAGTCTATTTATAAAACCTCTTGTTGTTGTGTGAGTACCTCAGACTTCCGCTTCAGTATATTGACCTTAAGAAACACCTCTGACGGAGATCCAACTGGTACTTAGTTGCTTGTCTGAGGTTCTGCTTTTCTGGGCAGCGGCCGTCTGATGTGGAATATAATGCTGAGCCCGTAGATCACATACTTTATCTGTCATCTTGCTTTTAGCCAGTCTTAAGAAGTGGAAGAGGCATATAGTCTATAAAATAGGACCTCAGTAAACTTGCTCTCTTTATGTCTGAGGCTGGCGCCGCAGACAGATGTGTTCTCATGTGCCAGCTTGAAACTTGGAGCAGACAGGGTTCAGCCGTGTGAGGAGACTAATATGTTTGTGATAGCATTTTCACTCGTATCATAGGCAGACTGGCTGATTCAAAATGCTCTTGATGCTATTGACATAGATAATATAACTTGCCAGAAATGTATTTTCTCTTTTATAAAATGTTTCGTAAACAACCAGACAGGAAACCTCTTGTTTGGTAAGATATGGGGCGTAGAAAAACAAGTAAATTAAATAATAGACTTCTTTATCCAAGGAATCAAATGTTTATAGGCACAGCGGGGTCTCAGATCAATGGTCTTATGCATGTGGTCGCCGAAGGGCAAGTCGCTCCTTGGAAAGGGAGACGGGGGCTGAATGATTACTCTTGACACTTCGCTTACTCACGCCATAGTTTCAAAAACAACCCCCACCCACCCTGTTTGAAACACAAAGAGGGGGGAGTGAAAGAGAGAGAGATATTCCATGCCTATTCTTCTACCCTCTCGAGCAAGGACCGCCAGCTAGGCGACTATTTTTAGCTTCACCACACACTATTTTTAGACCACTACCACTTTTTGAGGCACTTAATCGTAGATCAAACAAATGAGTGATATTGGTGGTTTTATTGGGGGTTCGTTCTTTATTTTTAACATATCATTATATATTGTTTATGTTAAAAGAAAAAAAGAAATGTAGGAACTAAATGTGTACACGTGTTTTGCCTTGTTTTTTGTCAACGCCCTTTTCTATGCAATACAACAAACAATTATCTGGAAGCCTCAAGTCCAAACCGAAGAGGTGAGGCGGCGGGTGTAGACGGGAAGAGGAGGAGGGCAAAGGTTCGCCTCTGTTTGTGGAATTCACCACACTTTGAACACCGGAAAGAGGTTTCACATACAGTATATATATATCATATGTTGTGCTTGTTAATAGTTTCTACCAACCTTAAAGCTTGTTTGTAACTCTGTGAAGGACTTTAAGGGCCAACTTTCCCATTATCGTTAACACTGTAAATACATGGGTAGAGGTGTGGGAAAAGTTACTAACAGTTATCCGATTTCTGTCACCCACTCTTCAACACGTAATTCTCCACTAATATCTTTTAAAAGATGTGCTGTGGTGTGTACACAGACTGTCATCAGACTCTTTGTTTTAACAAACTGATACTGTTAGCTTTCCAATGTCACAAGGTTCATTTACTTAGTCAGTCAAAGCAGCTTCAGACCTTAATTCTCAGCTCACGGGGAAAAACAAGTCAAGTTGCTGATCTCTGTCGCCAGTAAACACTGAGGTACTGTGATCTATTTGACTACCCCACGCCTTACCTTCAAGTTACACCACATGAAACATGAAAACCTCTAAACGACTCTCCACAAAATTACTATGGACAACTGTAAGGCAGGAGATATGACCTGACGCCTTTATTTCTTTTGGATGCTGACACATGTTAAAGTCGTTCAGGATAAATTAGAGAAGGCATTCAGGCCAGAGTAATTATACAGGGTTTCAGAGCCATGAGAAGAAGTCATTCAGTGGCCTGATCAACACAGAAAACTCCTTAAGGCTAATGTTCTCCATGCTTGTTTAGAAACCAAATAAGCATACAGAATAGCACACATGCTGGAAAATATTTTCACAAGAACGCGGCAGAACATGAGCCCACTGGCACTTCGGAGGGGGAGATCACATGTTGTGTTGAAAGCAGAGGGTTTAAATGAATAAAGAACGGAATTTAGGTACATGACAGTGAAATAATCTAAAAGAATATCTGTAGTATTTTTTATGTGTGGAAAATGATATTTTATTGCCAATTGAAGCATTGTGCAAGCGAGGCATGAAGTGAACTGATGTGGGTGCGCTTCATTACTCGTTTTCTTTTTGCCATCTCCCAGACATACCTGCTTGATTTATTTTCTCTTTATGTTTTATCATTTTCACCCCAGCCCCCAACGCCTCCTTTCTCTACCACCCTCCCTCCCTCCAGTGGACTGTCACTGGGCTGAAATCACACCTGTGCTTCTCACACATCTCAGCACACGGGTGAAACATACGCAGGGTGAAACATGGTGAGGGAGCTTTGCTGAATCTCATTAGCCAAGCGGGTAGTCATTAACAGAATGACCTTTGGAAATAATTACCAGCCTTCCTCCCTCCATCCCTCTTTCCCTCCCTCCTATTCTTGCACTCATCCATCCCTCTGTCCCTCCCCTTCCCCTTCTCATTCTAACTCGATAGTTCTTTCTAGGTGAGGGCAGAGGAAGAGAAGGAGAAAAGAAGGGAGAGAAATGAGTTGAGGATGGGTGGTGAGGCAGGTCCCTGCTGCTGCTGTTTAAGATTACAGGGTGAGCTGAATTTTCAGATTAGGTTAATCTGCTGGAAATGGGATTGGCCAACAGCCTTTCCTCTGGCAGGTAGGCAGGTCAGCCCAGAACCAAGAGGCATGTGCCATTCCATGTGATACTTGAGCCAGAGTGTGCTTTGTGGCTGAGGTCATCACAATGCCGATGGCTCTGCAGGGTTCAAGCTAATTGTCACCGTGCATTTGCACACACATACACCCATGCAGTGCAGTCTTTTCAAACACACACTTACAAAGGCCAAACACCCTTTTTCTGTGTGAAAATAGGCACAGCTTATTTGCACATACAGTACACAGGAATGGTTTAACGTCTTAGCACAGGTATATCCAGGCATTAAGGGGATATCATTTTTTCACACCTCAGTTACTAACCCTTTAGTTGTTTCAAAAACCTGTGTTCTTTGCTTCAACAGAGAGGAAAACAAACACATTGTGGAACAGGGATTTGGCACAGCCCAAGTGTGTTGTTGGATTTGGGGCATTCACAGCAAGAACCAGCCAATGCCGTTTAGGTCTGGGGCCTGGGGTTGATCTGCAATCATGGGGAGGGGAAAGAAAGGACTCTTTCATGTGCTATTGCAATTAGCAAACCCCGTTCCCGCATAATAAATCACCAATAAGAGCTGAAAGTGATTGTTCTTAAGCCGGGGAGAAAAGAGGAAAAAGGAGAGATGGATCTGTTCTCTTGTCATTTCCCAACACAGATCCCCATTTCTCCTCTAATGCTGTTCGCATGTCCAGGAAACCGGCCTGGCAGACAGCAAGTATAGGAAATCTATCTGCGTGTTTGACTGTTTTATCTGGAGCCAGACTCAGAGTGTACTGTAGACCTGCCAGGACGACACATTTGGAACCAGCTTTGACATCAGACGATGGGCGGATCCACCTCTGTGTTTGCTTTCATCACGTTTGGAGAACTAAGATGAGCTTACTTTGAACAATTAGCTTTAATTAAGTGGACATCCCTACTATATACCAGCTGGGAAGATTGTGTACTACATATTTTATCAAAGTCTCTTGGGGGAGTCTCTGCGAATTGAGATATTACTGTATCCTGCATGGCAATACATGTTTGTGATTAAATGAAAGCATTTAAAACATTACAAAAATAGATTAAAATATGTTTTGGATGCCACTGTTTTAATGTGATTGTTAAGAGTTTCTTGATGTCATACATTGAGATAATAATAATAATAATACTTAATGTGCAGTCAATTTGATGGCTGATATTTTCTTTTGTTTTACCACTGTCTCAGAGAAGGGTTGGCTTTGGTTTCTTTGGCTTTTGCTTCCAGAGATATTTATGGAAGTATCATTCCCAACTGAGACTGTTTCAACTGAGTCATCAAGACCTTCTTTACCTCTCTCTCTCAATCTTTCTTTTTCATTCCCCCACAATCTGTCTCTTACATACATAAACCCGTTGACCCATGCTTAGATTCAACCTAATGCAAAACAATCTCTTAAAGATTGTATATGTTCAATGAAAAACTAGAGAAAACAATGAATAGAAAAAAAGTGAGGGAATGATAGAAAAAAGGCCTCCAGCCTTTTGTAAACATGCTGTAGCTAGAGAGGCTGTGCAACGCTCCCAGTGCCACTCTCTCAACAACGCTAATTATCAACCAAAGACATGCTAATTACATAGAGCTTTATTGCTAATGTAGCAGGCCTCTATGCCAGCCGCCCACACTCTGAGCTCCGCTCCCCTACCTCTGCCTCTCCTCCCACTACACCTTCAGGCACAGCAGCAACAGAGGGAGAGAGATGCAAGCAGTTTGTTTACTTCTAAAGACATGAGCTTTCCTACAAATTGAAAATTAAATATGTCACAGACAGATGTCAAATCTAAAGCCTAATTGCTTCTCTGTCTACACCCCTAAATCCAGCTGTCCATGTTGTTCTTGACCTCCTCCTCATCATCCTGCCATCTCAGCAGGAAGTCCACTTCGCTCATGCCTCCCCCTAAACTCAACAACCCACCCATGTTCCTGCACCTGTGACGTAGCCTAGCAGCGGCACACAAGGCTCGGCAGGAGACATCCACCCCCCTTTTCCCCTCGCTCGCCCTCTCTCTCCACAGAACCGCCTCCCACCCATGCTAAACGTGCTAGTGTCAGGCCTGTGGCCAATCCTGTTAGCACGCCGCTGCTAAGGCTGAAGGCCTCTTCAGATCGATTTCTCCCGCTGTGACTCGCTCAGAGTCCTCCAGGGATCACAGTGTAGGTATAGTGCTCCACAGCACTCTCTCTCCCACTAGGCTCTTTAGCGTCTTCCCCTGACACGGCTGTTTACACGTTAGCCATCCTCTGCTCTCTAATGGAGACACAGTTAAAGAGAGAGCTTCAAAGCAGGGAGCTCTCGTCACAGGCACTTGCTGAAACATGTGATGACACTCTTCATGGGTTCAGCTAGGGCACGGTAATACACTGAGTATATAGTGACTGAAGGGTTGGCGCATAAAGGATATCAGTGCTTAAAGGCACTCTAGAGCTATGAGTGGATGCTAAAGGGGTTAATGTAAATGGTATAATGCATAAAGGATTATTTCCTATCCCTTCTTGTATACTGAGATACTTTTTACAAACTGTGGCAATTCATTTAGATTTCTAATAAAACTCAAACTAAGCTTTGGGGACAGATCATAGATGTAAACAGCTTTAATAATTGTTTTGCATTAAAGAGTTGCATATGATATTGTAACTATTAAAAAAAATACATTGATGTTTTAAAACTTACAAAGTTTTAGCCTCAGCCACATTTACAATTCAAAAACTCAATAAGATGAGTTATAGGAAGTTAATTAAAGCATACAATGCATTGTAAACAAGAATATAAGCTGTCATGCTGCCTCTATTGCATTTATTTGTGTTTCTAAATGCTTTCCATGTTAATGCACCTAGTCCATTCTCTCTTGTCATTAAGGTTAGCCATATGTTGAGTGCTGTATCCCTTGATGTATGAGCGACATTTACCCAGTACATATTTGACTGCACCAAATTGAAATGGTGATGGAACCAAAGCAATAATAACAACAGCAGACAACATTTATTTATGCTGCTTTTGAACCTCCAAACATGATATGAAGGAAGAGGTAATTATATAAGGATGGCAACAACGTAAGGCGAAATCTCTTCTAAAACAAAATACATTTGATATGAATATGGTAATTCAGAAGGCTTGTGTTCAGGTGCAGAGTGCCATCTGGAATGGCAGGACTGTTCCCGGTGGGTTTGTCCACCCGTGGGCGGGCGACAAGCCCAGCAACACCCATGTGAAAAGATAAAAACATGCCTCATGCTGTTTGATCCTGTGTCAGATCTGCCAGCCAGCAGGTGTGCATGTTTTATAAGGGTATAATGTAAAACATAATTACAAATGCTAGGCTAAGAATGGGAGACGAATGTGTTATGCATTAATTGTGATCAAGTCAATGTAACATGTTAACAATTTGTCGCCATCAGGTGTCTGTTGAATCACAGACAAAAAACATTGACAAAAAAAAGTGGATATAGACAGTTTTGAGATTTTATATGTATTATTATTTGGAATTTCTAACCTTTATAGTGTAAAACAAGAACAAAATATATGTAATGTCAGGAAGCATTAAAAATGTAATTTGGTTTGCAAAGTTGCTTTAAATAATTAATGCAACAAGCAGACAAATAACATGTATTTAACATTAGTTTTGTGGGACAGGTGCAGATAAGCAGCAAGCACGTGCATTAATGCGTGTGTGTGGCCCATAGGGTTTGTCAGAGCGACAGTGTGAATGTTGCATAACAGGTTCATGTTGAGAGCTTAAGGATCCTGGAGGGGGTCAGTGTCATTTCCTGCTTTATCTACCTGCCTACTGGCTGGCCTTACAGCGCTGTTTAACATCACCTTGAGCCACAGTAGCGACATGTGTCCAAAGCAACATCCTTGTCTGAGGCACGTACTGGCGTAAAAACACAGAGGGCAGGGGCTGGTAATTGCACCCCGCAGGGGAAAGACTAAGAGGTCCAAATCACGGATAGGCTACCACTTCTTTTGTTAAAAAGTATTACACAACAAAAACAAGCAATTTAAATTAACACATTTTCTTTACATTTATTTGATAGCCCTACTATAATTCTTAAAATACATTATTGATATGGACACACAACCTATGGGAGCAATTATTTCTTACACTATGTGAAGTGTGAAGACCAAAAGAGAGAAGTAATGGTTTGCTGAATGAGTCACAATGCTGTAACCATCTGTCTGCTTATGTGTTTCTGTGTTTTTGCATGAGCCTGTGCATGTGTGTGTGTGTTCCTGTGCTCCTGTGCTCCTATGCGTGCATACAAGAGTGCCGTGTGCATCATTTTTGTAACTTACCTCCACAATATCGGAGTTGGTCCTGCTCTCATGGGGCTCGTTGTACTCGGTGTATTTAAGCAGGACCTTGTCCATGTCTGTGCTGGCATACTGGAACAGCTTGTTGGTGCTATTGAAGATGATCAGGGCAATCTCACAGTCACACAGCACACTCAGCTCATACGCCTTCTTCATCAGGCCGAACTTTCGCTTTGTAAATGTCACCTAAAAAAGAAGCGGATAGAAAACAAATAGTTAGGCAGAGGCACGGAAGATTTATGTTCACACATACAGTGTCACTGAACTAAAATTGGCTCACCTATAATCAAATCAATCTTTTGTTCCCCCTAAATGGTAGTCATCATTAAATTAAATTACAGTCCCCACCCTCAACATGTTAGAAATCCGAAGTGACAACTTTTCCTCAATAAAATGAGTAATTTTCAGAGAAACTGAATTAAAGGAAAGTGAAGTCTGCTGATAGTTCAACACCCTACTCTACCAGGAAAAGAAGAAAAAAAGAAGTTGGGCTTGTTTTTAAGGAACTGAAAATACTGTGTCTCAGACAGATAACGGTAAAGAAGATCAGTTAATGCTAGTACATCAAAGCTCACAGACGTTCATCTTGGAAAATATGTAATGTTAAATTCTCCATTTTAAATACCCCTACTGTGCTCTCACGCTCAGTCATGCTTTTACACTAAGAGAATGACCTATAACTATAGTAATCCAAAACAAAATGTGAATTTCATTGTGAAATTAACACACATTGTTAAGTTGTTTTGTTGCCCAATGAACTACCTCTCATAGTGAATAACAAGACATTAATATAAATAATGGATGGGTTCCCTGTCTGTGCTTGAAGCTATTTGTGAGTGTTCAAATAATGACAATGCACTCTACTTAAACCACACAAAAATAAATCTCTAATAGGGCATTTTTCTCTCGTTCCCTCTGTCTCTTTTTCTCTCTTTATTTTCTCTCTCTTTCTCTCTGGGTATTTGTGTGTGTGTGTGTGTGTGTGTGTGTGTGTGTGTGTGTGTGTGTGTGTGTGTGTGTGTGTGTGTGTGTGTGTGTGTGTGTGTGTGTGTTTGTGTGTGTGTGTGTGTGTGTGTGTGTGTGTGTGTGTGTGTGTGTGTGTGTGTGTGTGTGTGTGTGTGTGTGTATGTGTCTGAGGCCCAATACTGGTACCTTTAATAACACACGCATACAAGTGCCCACATTGTCAAAATAGAACAGCCACTATTCCTCTATTGTTTGGTTCAAAACTAGAGCATTGAAAGTGAGTTAATTCCAGTGAGCTGCACCTGGCTTCTTCTCCAAGCCATGTGTGCACGCTCTTTGGCTGAACGGGAAAACGAGAAAATGTGCCACTGCCAGCTTTCTTCCCTGAGCAACACAGCTTTTTTCATATTGAGATTTCTTTCATTTCCTTCTGTGACTGTGTGTATTATTTACATTGGAGATCTGTATTGACAAAGCTTTTTTTTTACAGAGAGGAAATACTGCCAGAACTGTGCCCAGCTGGTAGCTAATGATATCAGTTTGTTGATTAACTGCATGTTTGTCTATTCTCTTCTGACACTTAAGTGGGCCAAAAATCACAGAATGAAAACCTCCCAACACTCATTAAACATGCTCTGAATACAATTGTAAAAGGCTCTAAAAACCTTTACAAAGACAGCCTTTAAATAAGAGATCTTTGTGTGTGGTAGACCAGGGTAATGCAGGAATCGATCTTGCAGCATTAATCTATCATGGATTGCCCTTCACATTTTCTCTTTACAACTCGGGGCCTGAAAGAGGAGATAGGGTTGGAATGATATTGATAGGTAGTTTTGAATTTCCTGAAATCATATCTCCCAGGATGCACCAGTGAAACTGAATATCAAACCATGAACTCCACCCTGTCTTCTTCTTCACTGAGAGTGGGTAAAACGTAACCTCGACCAGCTTCCGCCTAAAGTTTCACAGTGATGTCATTGCGTCACGCCAAGCTATGTGTCAGCCCGAAGAGGCTGAAACCAGAGACACGGACGACATTCTTACTCCTTGCAAAGCATTGTGTGCAATGTCAGGTTATTTTACCTCGGCACAAACACACATCTTATTCACCGACGACATCAGCGGAGAAAACTCCCCTGGGCTGTAAATACCAAGCTGACATTTACACAGTCTCACTGAAATATGAAAAGAAACAAGCCTCATTCTTAACGCTGAAAGATCAAAAGGCATCTTGTGACAATAAAATTAATTGTCATATGCAACCTACCCTGAGCTGTATTGTCTGAAACTGAAAAAGCACTCACTCCAAAGAGGTCTGCCAGCCTTAGAACCGCAGAGCTACAGTGCAAATTGTACATGAGTGTCAATAAGATGACAGTACTGTAGGACAAAAGGTCAAAACAGACTATTCGGGGACATGTCGAGTGTTGTCTTCCCCTAGTGTTTTGATTCAAGGGGCACTGGGGCACACGCAGGACACAGCTAGCTGCCGGCCCAGATCCGTTATCACCCACACACTCAGTCTCACACTCTGCAGCGGCCATTAATGTTTTAAAAGGTGGCACGTGGCACACACAGTGGGCTGGGTGTTAGTCCCAGAGGTCCATAGCAGCGTGTCCCATAAGGGAGGTCCACATGCAGGCTTAGATAGCTCATATTAGTTGACCACTTGCAAACATCAGCACAACCGCAGACACATACAAACAAAGCAGTGTTTGTAAGTTTTAACTTGAAACCCACTTTTGTGCTGCTTCTAAATTCAACATGTAAAAATTAAAAACACAATCCAATCAAAGTTGTCTTGAGCCTCACACTTTAAATAAGGAACTGAGTGTGCAATTCCCACATAATATATAATTCTCACATAGAGTGACTTTAACAACACCACAGGATGAAAATGAGTGTGATTATGAAAAGCCTCAACTGACCAAACAATAACACCTACATAAATATCACACTGCACCCCCATATCTCAATCTGACACGTACAACATGCCTACTTCAAAATCACATATATTACTAATGCTATGCCTATAGATCCATGAATACACAGGCAAATATAACATTAACACCCATTTTAAAGGACAGTTGGACATCAATACTGTCCTGTAGGTAAATGATGGTGCCAAACATCATGTGAAATGTGCTAACAAATATTATATTCTGTTTTCAATTTCACTGAAAGAGGTAACTTTGTCGTGACTTCACATGATGCTGTCATGTGATCCTTTCAGCCCATCAACACTCATGCTGGTGTTGTCACCACTGGCCTTTTTTGTGTAATTCCAAAAAATCTCCCGGCCCACACAGCAGCTGCTAAATACTGCGCTGGATCTGTAATTGATAAGCGACTGCTCTGTGTTTTGAGTGGAGAAGTAAAACAGATGCTTATGAATGGCACACCTTATCTTAAAACAATTGAAGATACCTGACCCTGAAACCTTTATCTGCAAAAATATTAAGTAATCAATAAAGTAGATCTTATAGTCTATGATCATGAAATAATGTGGTGTAATGGTGTATAGCCTTTTCTTGAGGCCCCTGTCCTTGTTGTTAAACCAAAAAAACACATTGTAAACCACCCGTGTGTCAGTGTGGGTGTAATCTTTGTTTTGTTGGTTAGTGGGTGCTTAGACACACCACTGTGTTAATAACACAGAGAATGACGTTAAAGCACATTTGCAACTGTGCATACTGGTAAAAGAGACCAGTGTGAGTGTGTGGTGTGTATTTTCACACTAAATTGGTAACCTATCTTAACACACACACACACACACACACACACACACACACACACACACACACACACACACACACACACACACACACACACACACACACACACAGACACACACACACACACACACACACACACACACACACACACACACACACAATCATTTGATATACCATTTTTGGCATTAGTTGAGGTAAAGACTAAACCATGTCATGTTAGGTCACTTAACTTGTATGTTTGTATGTATTGTACGTTTCCAGGACTATCAAAGTGTTCTTGTGACACATTTTCTTTATTTAAAAATAAGCAACATGTCTAACAGCAGAACAATCCTAATAACTTTTTAACCTCTCCATGATCAAAACTAAACAAATGTTAAGATTCCAAAAGATTACTCCGTTATGGAAAAGCGTGAAACAACGATCAGAGATGGGCCAATATTTTCCTTCAAAAATAATTGTAATTACTGTTACACTTTATAGTATATATCAAATGTATTTTGGCTCATTATTAGCACTCAGTCATAGGCATTCATAGCATCTTGAACATACACTGTACACTCAGAGTAACACACCAGCCTTATTCGTTCACCCCTAACCTCCTCCACAACCGCATCCCAAGGGAGATTCTGACACATGCACACACAAATGCATTCAGACACACACCCATGTAAACACCTAAACTTGTTATCGTCACATATCCTTTCAGAGCATATGCCTCTATATTGTAAAATTGTATTTAACACATTTGAATGCCTTTTTGTTTAATATTATTTTTTCTTTCCACATATGAATGATTATATGTTATAATATATTACGTATTCTATAGCTGGAGAACCAACAGAAGAACAACATAATTATAAAAATGAAAACAATCAGTTGTGATCTGCACAATTGACCTGTCACATTTCCTCTGGCAAAAATGGGAGAAAAAACGGTAAGGATAAACAGAGGGACGAGGAGAAAGGAGGGATAGTGGCTGATTCTCTGCCACATGGGTGAGAGGGGAGAGAGAAAGAGTGGAGGGAGAAGAGAGGGGGCGGACGCACAGGAAGCACATTTGTATGCATTTCCTCTCATAACAGGAAGAGGCCAGTGGCTTCCCCTTCACAATGGCTTCGCTTCTGCTTCCCACCTCCTGCCTGCTTCCCTGGGGGAGGAGGAGGTGGAGGAAGAGGAGGAGTGGAGAGACAGGCACCAAAAACTGCTGGTTAGCAAACCAAACATGGCCGTGTGGGACACACACACACGCAAACACAAACACACACACACTCACATAAATGTCAGTCAACCATGGAGCAGCACGATTTGTCTTGAGACAAACACTTATCCCATTGTCAGGGGCCAAGCAGGAAGACACGGGCTTACGCAAAAGGAATAAGAGGAGCCCAGGACCTGGACCTGAACTCTGCCTCGCAGCCAAAGAAGCTGTTAAGAGGGGCATTACGACAAAAGAGGCTTTGTCCAACCTCTAATATATGCTTT